ATAATCAATAAAAAGGGGATTTTATTGGCAGGTAGAGACTGAGATACTGGACATACCAGAGCTTACTTTAACTTTAACTACTTGAACTTTAAACTAACTTAGCTTATTTATTTTTATTCAATTTTTATATTTTATATATATTTTTGTAAGACTTCGAGATAATTTAACATACTTCCTATGTTAAAACTATTCTTATGTTGGTTTAAATATTCCATCAGAATACACTGTAATTCCTAGAATTGGTTCCAAAAACCTACGATAACTCCTTAATAAATGCTGCAGATAATCACACATAGCACTTAAATAAATGACTCATATAAGAGAGATGGAAAAATAAATACATTATAAAGAAATAATCAATAAAAAGGGTTTTTTATTGGCAGGTGGAGACTGAGATACAGGACCCACCCTAACTTAGATTTTATATATTTTTTTCTAAGACTTCGACGTCATTTAACATACTTCATATGTTAATATATTCCTATGTTGGTTCAAATATTTCCATCAGAATACACTGTAATTCCTAGAATTGGTTCCAAAAAACTACAATAACTCTTTAATAAATACTGCAGATAATTACACATAGCAATGAAACAAATGACTTATATAAGAGAGATGTAAAAAGAAATAAATTACAAAGAAATAATCAGTAAAACAGATTTTTTATTGGCAGGTAGAGACTGAGATAGAGGACATACCAGAACTTATTCTAACTTAAACTACATGAACTTTAAACTAACTTAGCTAAGTTATTTTTATTAAATTCTTATATTTTATACATATTTTTCCAATGACTTTGACATCATTGGAAGTTTCCTTCGGGTGTCGAGTCGAGTTTTTCCGGTTGTTGTGTGTCTGATAAATTTCCTTTTGGCTATTTTGTGTATTTTTGTGCATTTTTTGCAGCTGTTTTGCATCTTTTTCTGTCTTGTATGTTGTATTATTGTGGTTATTTTGTGTCTTTTTGCATCGTTTTGTGTCATTTTGTGTCATTTTTGTGTCTTTTTTCTGGTAGTTTTGTGTCAGATAAATTTACTTTTGGT